CGGGAGAACGAGGAGGCCCTGAGGAACGACGCTGAGGTCTTCCCCGACGTCAATCTCAATGTGACCGTTGAGGTCGTCGCGTCACCTGCGGTGAGGGGGAGCGAGAGGGTTATCTCTCCGATTGAATCTCCGTCGGATAACATTCCCCTTAGTGTTCGTCAGGAGACCTTGGCGGCAGCCAGACTAGGGAAGCGAACCCGACCTGATGAGACTGAGGGACCTGCTCGTAAGCGGGCGAACACGGAGGTCGTTGGACCATCTGCCTTAGTTGCAGATTCAGGTGCTGAAGGGGCTGCTCGGGAGCAACAGGGCGAACTGGTTTCCTCCGAGTTCGACCTCGAGTTCTCTTTTAAAAGAGAGGGGAAGCGCCTGAGCGAATTCCCCAAAAAATGTGCCGAGCTCCTGAGCAGCATCAAGAGCGGGGAGGTGTACCGGATCGACCCGACTGCTGATGATCTCTTCAGCGAAGCGGTGTATTAATTTTGGGCACAACAGACTGTTCAGGTATTGTAGTCTTTGCCCGTGTGATTTCTTTTCCTTGTGTCCGTTGGTCGGTGCTTCTAGACTGATTCGTTTTCGGTCGCAGATGGTTGCGAGCACTAATCGTATGGCTCAGCATCTTGACCATTGTCTGAAGACTGCGTGTGAGCGGTTGGAGAGGAAGCAGATCGATTTGAACAAAAAGACGATCAGGATGCAGAGGGAGGCCTTGACTCCGTTGAGTTCAGCCAACGGGTGCTCAAGGGGGAGCTCGCTAAGGAGAAGGCGGCTAATGACAAGTTGAGGGCTAAGTTGAAGAGCGAGAGGGAAAGATTAAGGGACTCTCGAGCTTTTGAGGTCGCGAAGGAAAGAGAGCTGGCTGAAGAGAGGGTGAGGTCGCAGGCTGAGACAAAGCTGGGGAAATTGAAGTGTTATTTCAATGCGATGGACGCCGTCTTCGAGAAGCAGACGTACCTTAACCAGGCGACCTGCCTGAAGGGTGTTTATGAGGATCAGGAGAAGGGGATAGTCATCACGCCTGAGTGGAAGGAGGTTCTCGAAGCTGATCTGAAGAGGCTTTCTGAGGAGATTAAGGAGATCGGCGTCGTGAAGATCGTTCCTGCCGATTTCCAAATGTCCCCGAACAAAGATAGGATGCCTGTCGAACAATGGGTTCCTCCTTCTCCTATTTCAGAGGGGACGCCTTTGCCGATTCAAGTCGATCCTCAAACTGGCGATCAGCTCGACCCCCTCTTCCCCTCGGACACTGCTCCTCAATGATCTCGTCGTTCTGTTCACTTTTTGCCTTCTTTGTTTTGTTTTGTTTTTTTTTAAGACAAGTTATCGGGCCGCAAGTGGTCTTTGTTTTTATTTTGGTAATCCCCAGAACCTTGGATTTGCCTCGGGCTCACAAGGTGTCCTTGGCTTTTGTTTTCTGTTTGAATCTTATTTGACATCTTTTTGCTCGTTCTCATAATTTGTTATGATCTGCTTGGGTTAAGATAGATAGTTTGGTGTCGAACCAAATTCAGGCCGGGTTATCGTTGTAGTTATACCTCGATTTCTACAAAGATTTTCCACGCGAGGCTGAGCTCGGCTTACTATAATAACCTTGGTAGCTGAGTTTGCGAGGTGGGCTCGGCTTATTTTCCTCGGCTATTTGCGAAGGTTTTTCATGCGGGATTGGGCCCGGCTTTAGTGTCGACGAGCGCGGATTATTTTTCCGAGCTAGAAGACATGGATTATTTCACCATTGCAACCATTGGGAACGCGATGCGGGATCGGGCCCGGCTTTTAGTGTCGACGAGCGCAGATTATTTTTCCGAACTTG